AAACTGCTTGGTCCAGGTTATAATGTTCCTCCTGATGACATGTCAGGCCCAGGTCTACTTATTTATGTGCACTTTTTCCACAATATCTGAGAGTTCAGTCTTTGCTCTGATCCATTTATTTGATTATCGATCTCGTCTTGATATTTTGAGAGGGTATCGTTCCATTCCTCTGACTGTTACTTTCAATTTGTGGCATGTCTTCTGGTCTATTACCCATGTTTCGCAACCGTTGGTCATAACAGGAAGTACTGTGCTCATCCACAGTTTTCTATTGACTTCTGAGCTCACCAAGGATATATATATATATATATATATATATTTTAACTTGAAAAGTGCACACCATTCCTGGGTGTATCGCCTGCTTATTTCTTCTATTTGCCCTTTAATAGAAATAAGGTGCTTAAGATATAGAAATGTTTCAACCTTCTCTAAATGGTGCTCACCTATTTTTAATCCCCCTTCAATATTTACTGTTATAGATTTACATTTCTTATTTATTTATTTATATATTATTCATTCACTAATTATTCATACATTTCTTATTCATATATTATTTAAGCCCTATGTTTTCTCTTGCTACTATCTGTTGATCTGTCATCGTTAGGATTTCTTCTTTACTTTCTCCTTGATCATCTTTACTTTGGACTTGGTCATCCGCAAACACTAAATAATTCAGCCTCTCTCCAAGAATTTGTATACCTTTGTTCTACAAATTCATCGTTTGCATGAAATCATGGAGAACTGAAATAAATATCCTACAAATTTTTATTTTCTCTTGTCTGTCTCCTAATTTATATTCAACATTGGATCTTGAATACATGTCTTCCAATATTTTGCATATTCTTGGAATAATGTTCCTCTTCTTTATTATATTAATAATGAAATCAGTTTTTAGAGAATCGGCTGCTTTTTCGTAATCTAGAAAAAGGACACATTGTAATCGTTGGCTTTCTTAATTAAGTCTTTGATCACAAAAATGTGATGTACAGTAGAGTAGTTCTTCCTTAAGCCTGCCTGATGTTTTTCTAGTTCTACATCCAATTTGTCTTCTATTCTTCTAAGTAGGATTTTAGAAAATATCTTATATAATACTGAGAGCAAGCTTAATGGGCGATAATTATTTAAATCTCCTTTCTTTGGTAGAATAATGAGTTTTGCAGTTTCCCATTCTTTCAGGAAGCTTGCATTCTTAAGGTGTGTATTATATAACTGAGCGAGAGTCCGTGCTAGAATCTTTCTTCCAGCTTTTATGTGTGCAATTGTCAAACCATCAACTCCTCCTGCTTTATCTTCCTTGCAACTATCAATTACACTCATTACTTCTCCAATCATAATTTCTTCTTTTGGATCCCAGCTTTCTATATCCCACTCTCCATTTTAATTATTTCTTGTATAATAATATAGTTTTTCACAATAATCTTTTATAATAACATTATATTCTATTATTTTTCATAACATAATATTCTATTAATTATCTTGAGGTTATCATTTAATACTTGTACATCTTCATTTAAAATAACAGTAATTTTTTTATTCAGTAATTCCTCCTTCTTTTAATTTTCCTCCTGTTTTAATAACTCCTTCAATTTTTTTCAACCTTCCTTTCTTTTAACCGGTTCTCAATTTTTTTCCTGATTAATTTGTTAAGCTGCCTTGTATCTTGTTCATTTTTTTTTTTTTGCAAATTTCTTCTTTTCTCCAGTAGATTTTTTATCTTTCTTGGGAGATTACGACAATGTCCATCTATCGTCGAGTTCTCTTCTTTAATCATGTCCAGTACACCTTCTAATGTATCTATTATTTCCGTAATTTGGATTGAAGTTGTCTTCTCATAATTTGAATTTGGCCTAACTGATTTTAACTTATTTCCAAAATTACATGTTATAGAGTTTTCTAATTTAATTTTGCTTGATTTTCTATTTGTTTTTTTTATTTTTTAAAATGGTGGGTTTGTTATTCATCATTGTCCCAACTGGTCTGTGGCCACTGCCAATGTCAGGGTGACTTAAAACTTCAACATTGTTCACAATTTGTTTAGTTTTAACAATTATAAAACCTATTCAATTTTTTGTCTGGGCTCTGCCATGTCCATTTATTGTGATAATTTTTTTCATAACAAATATTCATGATATACAGACCATTTGCTTCAACAAACTCAGTAAGTCTTTCTCCTCCACTATTAAATTCTGAATTTTCCTATGTATTTTGGTTTATGTTCACTTCCTATTTTAGAATCAAAATCTCCGATCAATATTAGTTGATTATGCTTTCCATCATCAATAGCTATTTGTAGATTTAAATAAAAGTCTTCAATCTCACTTTCTTCTGCGTCTTTTGTAGGAGCATAAATTTGTATGAATTTAAATGTTATCTTGAGGAATTTGTTTACCTGTATTAATAACCTGGAGATACAATGAGTGTATGTTTTGAATGACCATATTTATATTTCCATATTTATATTTCTATTCCATATTCCTCCTTGTCCTTTCACTGTGCCATTATAATATAGCGTTACGCCATCTTGATATTCTAAACAGCCAGTACCAAATCTTCTCATTTCTGACAGGCCAATGACCAGTTCTTAGATTTCCATTCGGTTTTTAACTCAGTAAGTTGAGAATCTGTCATTAACGTCCTGCAATTATAAGTAATTATATCCCACGATTTCATCTGTATTAATTTCTGAGTTTTTATTTTGTTTATTTTCTCATCCAAATTTCCATGATCATATCCTAGATTGGTAGGTTTGTTTCCACTGAACTGCTTAGAAATAGATACAGGGCTGATCTCTGAGGATTCTAATCCTTTTTCATCTTATTTAATTGTATTTTTTTTCTCTTGAGAACATGTTAGTTTTTCCGAATCATCAGTACTGGTTTAAAATATCTTTCCAGATTGCTGCTTCTTGATTTCCTATCGTTTTTCTTGCTAGCTTGCTTTTTAATATGCGAATCTTCTTTCTCATTTTTCCGAGATGGCTCGACCTTATTTTCGGGAGTGGATTCCTCACTTTTCTGTCTTTTATTCTTCTAATGTGTCGAGTTCCATCGACCAATAATTTGTCATATTTCATTTTAGCTTTATGCCCTTTTTCAATGTTGTAGCTTTGTATTCCATAAATCTATATAATTCTCTCCATATCTTCATTACTTCAAATGGAAAATCTTCTTTAATTTTAATATTATTAAATAATTCATCTTATTACATTTTGTAATAACTCAAATAATTCATGTTTTAAATTTTGCTCTTAAGATGTCATTTCTAATTAAAACTGAAGAGAATTAAAGAATTTCTGACTAATCTGTTATCTACGATATCATATTTCCTAACATCTAAATTTAAGAAGGTGAATATATTCATTAGAGTCAATACGGCTTCATAATTGTTACGTGCTTGCAATCCAGTGATTACTAGATTTTGCCTTTTTTTCACATTGTTGGCATTTTTTGAGATAAGAAATTTTGTCTTTAATATTGTCTATTTCTGTAATAATTTCAGTTCTAAGATTATCGGTTTTATCTTCTAATGTCAGGATAGCTGTAACCATATTGAGGATTTTATTAATCTTTTCTTCCATGTTTATTTTATTTAAATTTAAATTGTTACCGTTACTTAGGATAAAAACAATGGGAGTTATCAAAATAAATATAGCTGTTTTGTTAGTTATAATATATGCAGTTAGTTACTAGTTGTAAGAATACAAAGGCTTTGTTGTGCTAGATAAGTAGTGGGATTTTTTATGGGAGCTAAATTTTTAAAGAGCAATTAATTTTTGGAGAAAACCCCATATCCTTGAAATATTTCAATTTCTGGGAAGTGTCAAACCAGAGAATAAGTCAAAAACTAAACTAAAATTTTTATAATTCTACGATTCCTCATGTTGTTTTTAACAAAAAAAGAGCAATTCAATTTCGTGGGAGTGCATATCAGTCATCGTTCTTGGGAGAGGAGGGAGGCACCTCTTATACACGCGAACGGATCATAAATATGAAACATTGAAATCGTAGTATTGTATAATATTTTGTACAGTTTATGTTGCTTTTATGTTCAATGGATAGTGCTGTTAAAAAAAAAAATGTTTTCACCCATCACAAGTGTGCTATCTTATAGCAGATCTTATATGATATAGCAGGTATATAAAAACATGCATGTATTCGAATGCAAAGTTGTACCCAAAATTTCAATACAATGGGTGAAAAAATCTCAGAGATTTAAGATTTTGAACGAATAAACATTACATTTTTATTCAACGTCTGCAAAGTATTGTAAAATTAAACATATTAAATCATGTGCTTTCTCTTTTCTTTTTTTTTTTTTTTTCAATTCACGTTTTACCAGACTGAGCTACAGCAACACATTGTTGAGTAAAGCTAATCAGTCACAAATTTCAAATAATTATATTTTCAATTCTTAAAATAATATTTCATCATATTCTTTCTATCATGAGAGGGATATTTTCTAATCAAAATATTACAAGGAAACCATCACTTTGTAGCAGGTGGGCATTAATATATAGTTAGATAATGGTTAACATTATCAACAATAATAATTACAATAATAGTAATAGTACCTTTCTTTACCTATCCTCCAGCGAGAATATTGGGACTGATGATGTGATGTTTCTAAATGACACACCAAATAGTAGGAACTACACATTAATATCTGAATGAAAATAATAATAATAATAATAAACCTCATTGGTTTTATATTTAGAAATGTATGATGAATGTAGTTCATTCATAATTGTAGCTTGTTATTATTCCCTTATAATTTTTTAAAAAATATAATCTCTATATAATGATAAAATATTAGTACTCCATTTTGTCTTTATTCTAGAATAAATTTCTGTATGTATTATCAGAGTTGATATAAGTTTTTATTTGCTGTTGGTTATAAATTAATATTATTATTATCTAAATTCAGTTATTTGAAGCATATTTTTAGGAGGAGGATTTTATAGCATGATTGACAGTCATTTTCTGTGTATCAACATTTTGCAGGAGGTCAGTTTTGAATAATGTGTCGGATATTTTTGTTATGGGTGGATGTCTGATACTTGAAGCTTTAGTACTCTTTCATTGGTGTACAAAACATGGTTTTGGACCTCTGGGAGTTAGTGGACTTTCAATGGGAGGACATGTGAGTATTTGAATTTATATTAACAGTTTTTTTTTCTTAATATTATTAATATTTGTAATGTTAGTGGCATAGACTTTTCACAAGATTAGGATTTATAAACATTAATTCAATCTTATCTTTGTTCATCACTTACTCTGTAATGTAGATAATGTTTTTTAGATTCTCTCTTTAGTAGAGTTTGATTCATTGGTTCCAGTCTTCTGGCAGTCCTTTCATTCCTTGGTCCAATTATTAAACATTCTATGCCTTCTTTATATTATTCTATCACATTTTCTGCTCTTCTATGTACTCTTCCTCCTATTCTCATTTGATGTAAAATTCTGGCTAGTTTTCTATTATTTACCCTACTTATGTGAATGAACCACCTAATTTTGTCTTCTTTTATATCAATCCATATTTTAATTGAGTTTCTTAGTGGTATTGCAAAACCTACTTTATCAGTTAAATCACTTTTGGATATTAGTATTGATAAGTTCTTTTATAGGTGATAAATAGTTAGGACAAAGTAATTTTAAGATTTTCATTGTTGCCGACGTTTCTAGGGCAAAATCAAGTGCTCAGTACCACTCCTTCAGTAACCCACATGTTTGTGTTGAAATTGTCGGCTACAATAAAAATCTTAAAATGATTCCATCCTGATTATTTAGCATCTATGATTTGTAAAACAGTTGACTAAATCCAATATGCGTTCTTTTGCACGTTTGTGGTTGCTATATTATGAAATTTGAAATTCTAATTTATGCAGATTACTCTTGCATTATTTTCCATTGATTTTCCTCTCCTAAGGATTTTATACTTTCTTAATTTATTTCAGTATTTTTAAAAATTTTATTTCAGGAATTGAAAATAGGGTAGCTCAATTAATAAAACACATAGACTAAATGTAAAACTTAAAGACTCGGTTGCAGAAGCTAGTTCATTTTCTTCTCTATTTGTGGTGGATTCATTTAGGGGGGATGTTGAGGCACATAATAATATAAACTTAGTATGTCGCTGACATAGGTTTTCTTTTCATAAATATTGAGAATGGTAGTTTTATTCCGTTACATTGTTTATAAAACTGCATGTTCTTTCCCTTCCTTTATCCATTGTTTTTTCCTTACATTTTCTCATTAAAAAGATATAGTTCTGAGTTGTAGATTATATGGTTATGAAATTCATAATTATCCTCTTATAACTCTCCTTCCATTATTTTTATTTTGAGAATATATATATATATATATATATATATATATATATATATATATTAATTGGGACACTTGCAAGGAATGATTAAGCAGGTAGAATCACCAATTTCAATAAAATTTGTTTAGTGATACGAGGTCAAAAATATTAGACATGTGTCGGAGGGTTCTTGCGGATGTACCCTAGGAGAGGAGAAAAAATATTTTGCATAATTTCAACAATTTTCACTTATACTTACGTATATTTGAAATATCTAGTAAGGGAAAGTTTTCAGTGGGAATACACGTTTTGAGGTTTCTTGAGTCCAAATAACCGATTCTCTCAAAATATCTGTGTATGTGAACAGTCCAGCTCAAATAAAAGAACTTGTACGGAACTGGAATTGCATATGGCTGGGGTGTTACTTCAATTTGTTTCATAAAAATCCACTAACTGGAAGTACCTCTTTGTATCATTGATTTTACACATTTTTACAATTTCCTCGAAAATCATTCTAACAATTTTGATTAAACTCATTAGTCCTATGTATCATTAAGTAGTTTTCAATTTATGGTAGATTTTATCTTCATCGATTTAGCCTAACAGACCTTAAATGACAAGTTTTCAAAGTTTCTTCCGCTAAATTACCTCTGAATTTGTTTATTTGAAATAATTTACCATTTCACATTATAACCTGGCATAAAAAATGGTTAAATATAAACTATGAAAGAATTTGGTAACTAACTAAATGAAAAATAAAAGATTGTAATATAGGACCGAAAATACCCGAGTTTGGCCGAAAGGATAGAATAGGGTTCCATAGTAACACATGCTGAATATAATACGGACTCCGTTTTAATAAATGCTTGGTATTATTATTCATAAATGTGTTGGTATTATTTAAATTTAATTTTATAGATTACAGCAATATAAAAATTAAAATTTGTTGATATAGCAGTGCTTAAGCAAAGAAAATAGCGGTATTTTTTATCAGTGCCACTCTTGTCGGACTACAAATATTTTATTAATTTTAATTATTTATTATAATCAAATAAATAATTAAAATATAGTCATAAAAGGACATGATTTGTGACTAAAAAGATATAAATATAATTCATTAGACGACTTTAAAAAACATATATTACAGTCAACGAAGGGTTTGTAGAGTGCGTGGAGGATGGGTAAGGACGGTGGACTTTGTGGTCCATGGACGGTCCTTCTCTGCTGACTCTGAGCGGTAATAATCCACATAATCCACGGATCTAGACCGATTTGTCATTGTCCTTGAACCCGAGTGAGTCGGTGGGAAGGACAATGCCAGATTGGACCCAAAGGGATTGGCTATGGAGCTACGGGTGGCTTGCTCCTGCACCATGGAGACCATGGTACATAGCAACGTGAGGTTGGATGACCACCTCCAGGCTATCTGTGCTCCCGCAAGTAATATATGTCTGGAAGGAGACCACCCCTTGCGGCCAATATGTATATATATATATATACGAGTACACTTTAACAAAAAGTTTACGCTCATGATTATTTAAAAGATTACTGAATTCAAAGAAATAACTATGAAATACAAAACGAAAAATAATCATCGAAATCGGACAATTATTACCTAAGATACAGATCTTTGTAATTTTTAAACATTTTGGTTTAAAACATGAATGAAGAGTTAAATTAATTTTAATTTCTTTGGTTGATTATAATTACTGTGAAAATAAGAATTGATTTCTCCAGCTTATGATACGCTGCATTTTTTATTTTCTTATTATTTTGTCATTGGTCACTGACCAATATACTGTGCAAATTATTTGCATAGACCAAGTAGTATGTTAATAGTTAAGCGTAATAATAATATTGTTATCATATTGAAGTGATAAAATTTCCACAAACTTCTTTTCTCATATAATATAACGACCTAATGTCTTTCTTAAAAAATATATACGATCTTTCTAATGCTAACTGTTAGATTTATTATAAATTAATATGTTTTTCATTATAATCAAATATGGTATTGTACAGCATGCATGAAAACATGTCAAAAATTGGTTTCATGACATGGTATGGGGAAATACACTGACAGGCGAAAAATTCCACCCACTTGTTACCCATTAAGGAACCACGTTGGAAAGGTTGGCTCTGGAAAAAATTACAGGCTGAATATCTTTCGTTTCTTCTTCTCCACACCCTTTCACTCCCGTCTGGAGATCGAAGAGCGAATCTTGACTCATCTGTAAGAAGTACAGCACTCCATTTGTCTATAGTCCAATGGCTGTGTTCTCGAGCAAAAGCCAGCCGTGTTACTCTGTGAGTTCTGGTCAACTCTGGTCCTCTTACTGGACAAAAAGCCATTAATCCATACTCATTTAATCTTCTCCGAGCGGTACGTTCAGAAATTTGCACACTTCGAACTTCTTCGATCTGATGAATCGCTTGAAAAATGGTAAGGTGCCGGTTTCGTAAAATTCTCAAAGTCAAAAACCGGTCATCCGGTGGTTCTGTTACCCTAGGCCGTCCAGAACCGGGCCTTCTATTGTAAGTACCAGTTTCCTGAAAACACCTGACGGCGTCTCGTTAAGTTTCATATGGAACTCCGATGGCATTAGCTGCATATCTAATGGAACGTCCATCATCAATAAGTGCCACACCACGCGCAACATCCTCAGCACTAAGAGGCATTTTTAAACTTAATATTGAAAAAATTAAAAGCCGAAGACTAAGAAATGTGCTGCAAGAAACGGCACTGAACTAATGATACTGAATAAACATTTTGATTCCATAGAAAGTAAACATTGGAATCTAGAATCATTTCATTGAATTAAGGATTAAGGGTTATTGTCCTCTATATTAACATTCCTAATTGAAAACCAATAAAAAGATGACCTATTTATTCATTAAAAACAATAGACCAATCCAAAGCAGAAATATTTTTAGATGAAAACATGAAAAAATCAAGTGGGTGGAATTTTTTGCCTGTCACTGTATATATAAGCTAGTCGACTAAATTTGTATTTTAATACTTTTATTAGTGAATTTATTTGATGTATATAGTTTAAATAAATGAAATCTTTGTCTGTTTGTTGTACAATAACTTTTCTTTCCGGTTTTCTGTTTATTGAAATCAACTATAAAATTGTTATTTCTAAGACCACAAAACTTTCCATTTAATTTCACATTAACCTATAATGTTAGGATAGTCAGGCTTAATAATGATATTTTTATTGCATAAAAGTGGTACAATTGTTACCAACTTCTTTTCTCTACATTTCCTCAAAATTTATGTCAGTGTGTAAAAGATAGATACAATTTTTGTAATGTTGACTTTTTCATAAATAAATATGTTTTTCATTAAAATCAATAATTTCAGTATAGTATGCACGAAAAAATGTCAAAAAGTGGTGTCATGAGATGAAAAGGGACAAAGTGTCCTTAAAATTATCAACTACAGCAAACATTTGGTTACTGCACTTGTAATTTTATATGTGGATATGTTACCATGAAAGACCAAAATCTCGAGAATGTCGACTATCACTGGTGAATGTCAATATTCACATAGTCATTTGGTGTATGCTCTTTAAATATTTGCTTAATATCCTTATTTCTGACTTACACCGGTAAATGTAGACATTCACCATGCAATAATGGTGAATTTTGAACATGTCGAAGATTTATATTTTCTTCTCCGTAATTCAGTCGCTATAAAACATCACAAGATTGATGTAACTATTTTGACTCTCTTTCTCAGAGGAGTGACCAAGAATTTAAAACACACAGTACATCTTATATGAGAAAATAAAATAATAGTTATAAAAATATTACTTTACGACGCATATTTC